GTCATTTTCCTCAAGGCGGGAAGACCGAACAACGAAACCTCCTCTTCCAGACCTCCGGTTCCCCTCGCCACACTTCCACCGGAAGGGGCCCCGGCCTTTCTTTCTTCTTTGAGGGAAACCAACTCGATCATCGTGCTCTGGGGTTGGGAACAGAATTTTAAATGAGAAAATACATCACTGGTTCAGCTACCTTGCCTGGCAACCACAGCATCCGGCACCCGGCACTATCAGATGAGATACACACTCACTACAGAGACCACCTCCGTGCAAACTCTTCTGCCTGTCCAGGGAAAGAACCCTCTCCGTGGGATGGCAGCAACAGGGGAAAATGATTGGAAAACTGCGTAAAGTCTTTAGAAAAATGAAGCAGAAACTGGAACTATAGAAAGAAGAAGCAGAATGTGGAAGTGCGAGTGTCCCAAGTTTAACTGGATACAACTCAGAGCCCCTGAAAGTCACCTGAAGTCTGCTTTTCTCAGCCTCCCAAATCTACTTAATCCCACTCAGAATTTTTTTTAACTTTTAATTTTATGTTGGAGCATAGCTGATTAACAACGTTGTGTTAGTTTCAGGTGCACAACAAGGTAATTCAGTTATACATATAAACGTTATCTATTCCTTTTCAAATTTTTTCCCAATTAGGTTGTTAGAGAATACTGAGCAGAGTTCCCTGTGCTATACAGTATGTCCTTGTTGGTTATCCATTTTAAATAGAGCAGTGTGTACACGTCAATCCCAAACTCCCTAACTATCCCTGCCCCCCCCACCCTTCCCCCTAGTAACCATAAGTTCATTCCCTAAGTCTACCCTCACTGAAAATTTGATCAGTGACCTCTCACATCTTGGAAAGCCAATCACAATAATTACATCAGCTCTCAGTAAACAATACTTCTTTTGCCTATATAGCACAGACATCAGTTACAAATATGACCAATCTAAGGGCTTCTTTTAAGTCTTGTTCTCTCTTCAAAAAACTAAAAATAGAGCTACAATATGATCCAGCAATTCCACTCCTGGTTATATATCTGGAAAAAACAAAAAATACTAACTCAAAAAGATACATGCATAAATTAAGAGGTTGGGATTAACATATACACACTACTATATATAAAACAGATAATCAACAAGGACCTACCATAGAGCACAGGAAACTCTACTCAAAACTCTGAAATAACCTATATGGGAAAAGAATCTGGAAAATAGATATACGTATAACTAAATCACTTTGCTGTACGCCTGAAACTAACACAACATTGTAAATCAACTATACGCTAATGTAAAATAAAAATTAAAAAAAAAGGAAAACATCAAAACTAAGAAAAAGGGAAGAAAACATATAAGCTTCACTTGTTTTTTTTTTAAATCTTTAAATTTTTATTGGAGTTTAATTGCTTTACAATGCTGTGTTAGTTTCTACTGTACAGCAAAGTGAATCAGCTATATGTATACATATATCCCCTCTTTTTTGGATTTCCTTCCCATTTAGGTAACCACAGAGCACTGAGTAGAGTTCCCTGTGTTATATACCATATGAGCTTCACTTGTGTTCAGGGGGGAAAAATAAAGATACATGCACCCCAAAGTTCATAGCAGCACTATTTACAGTGGCCAAGATATGGAAGCAACCCAAGTGTCCATCAAGAGACTAATGGATAAAGAAGATGGGGTACATATATACACAACAGAATACTACTCAGTCATAAAAAAGAATGAAACCTTGCCACTGCAACACCATGAATGGACTTGGAGGGTATTATGCTTAGTGAAATAAGTCGGACAGAAAAAGACAATTATTGTATGATAGCACCTACATGTGGAATCTAAAAAATAAATATATTCAGCAAAACAGAAACAGTCTCACAGATACAGATAACAAACTAGTGGTTACCACTGGGGAGACGGAAGTGGGGAGGGGCAAGATAAGGTTATGGGATTAAGAGATACAAACTACTAAATATACAATGGATAAGCAACAAGGATACATTGTACAGCATGGGCAGTGACAGCCATTACTTTGTAATAACTTTTAAAGGAATCGAATTTATCAAATACTGAATCACTATGTCATACACCTGAAACTAACATAATACTGTAAATCAACCTTACTAAAAAAAACTAAATAAATAAAATTCTTGTTCTTAAACTGCCACTCTGAAGTGAATGTGGACGTGAGTGACCCAAGTGTAACTGGACACAACTCAGACTCCCTGAAAGTCACCTGAAATCAGCTTTCTGTCAGCCCACCCAAATCTACTTAATCCCAAGGTGACCTCTCTCACATCTCAGAAAACCAATCACAATGATTACATTAGCTTTCAGTAAACAATACCTCTTTTGCCTATACAGTACAAACATCAGTTACAAATATGACCAATTTAAGAGCTTCTTTTGAAAGCCTTATTCTCAAACTGCCACTCTGAAGTTTAGGGAGTGAGCTCTTTGTTTCCTTGGTCAGAAATGCCTCTTAACTCAGGAGACAACTCCTAAATTCAGGTTCTAGTGGCAGCTAGGGTGTTTCACCAAGGGTCCTCAAATGTTCTCCAGGGATATGATCCTCGGAACCCTGGTGGGTAGGAATGGCCTCTTAAAAAAGACGCATGATTCCCCAAAAAGGTCTGTCTAATGTGTAATACTCTGCAAACGATGAACCTCAAGAAGTGACCCTAGGGAAAAAATAATAAATGAATAGAAAGCGCAGCTAACGTTCACTGAGAGCTTTCTCCAATGCCAGGCACTATGCTCCAGGCACTTGACACGAACCATCTCGTTTTAACGCACACACGGAGACAAACTCAGGAGGTAGGTACTGTTTCTATCCTTATTAAAGGGGTGGAAAATCAGGCCTGAGTGTTTAACTCACTCAAGATTGGCATAGCCAACTCAGGATTGAAACCTCGGCTGTCGTGTGCTCTTAACCACTACTCTGGACTAAAACCCAATGTAGTGTTCGGACTAGAACACCGAGTTAGTGTGTAGGTCTAAAATATTAAGCCAAAGCCGCGGCGGGTGGGGGGGAGGGGAAGGGGGCAAGACCGACTGGACGCGCGGTAGAAAATAGGGCACCGGCGGCCCAAGAGCAGGGCACCGACTCACATTAAAGAGTCTGGCAGCCAAATTGAACTGACAGGTATCAACCACCCACAAAGCTCAAAGGAATCTCATCACCACGCTGCCGAGCCACCGGCTTCGAGCCGCAGGTGCTCGCAACGCCAGGATTCCGGAATTAACAAGTCGGGCACCCACCCTCAAGTTCAGCCAAACCCCCGGGCTGCCTCGCCCCGGGCCGGCGCCGCGCACCGCCGCTCCCCGCGGACGCCGGGCCCCTCGCGGCCTCACGCCCCGGCGCTGCGGCCTAGGCCGGCGCTGCCCAGCTGAGCCCAGATCGTCCCGCTCCCCAACCCAAGGGCCGGCACTGACCGTTGTACGACTTCCCCTCGTCCGCCATGGCACACCGAGAAAGGGAGGGCTCTGTCGCGGGCCGCAACCCAGCCCAACGTCCGAACGCCAAGGCGCTCCAAGGCGAAGTGCTCCTGCGCTGGGTGCCACCGCTTTTATGGGGGTGAGCTCGTCACAGACAGCCGACGTCCTACAATAATAGGCGGGGCCGCTGGGACATGTGCGTACGCATCCGACGGGCAGACGCGCCGGGGGCGGGACTTGGCGCTGCACGCCCCGCCCAAGACCCGAGCTCGCGAAGCCCAGAGTTACCGCGAGTTCGCCCCGCCCCCTACTCTCATCCGTCCGCCGCTAGACCAGCACCACAAAGGTAGGGGATCAAGCTGAGAGCTGGACGCTACAGCCCAGGATTCCAAGAGGAACAGGGAAGAGGAGCCACAAGAAGTGCTGCCGAGGAATGGGAGACCAAGGGCCTTGGAGTGGGAGTGACCGCTCATAGACCCCTACGGGGATCCAGCCAGGGCTTAAGTCTCAGCTCAGCCCAGCCCTTTGCCATCTGCGTTATCTATGCCGTGCTTTCCTCGCCTATAAAAATAGAAAACTAGAAGGTAAGCTCCAAGAGAGCAGGGACTTGACTAATTCATGGCTTTTTTCTCCAGCACCTGGCTCAGTACCATACCTAGCACGTAGCAGAAACTCAACAAATATTTATGAAATAAGCTTCCTATCTATGTGTTCCCCCAAGAAGAGTTGCAGAGTCGAATGAGAAAAACTGCATGTCAGGCTTTGGTCGTCTTCACAGACCGCCCCACCAACCACCAATGTGCTGTGCTAAACCCACATCGTGGGTCAACTGGGCAGTGAAGATGCAAGCAAGACCACCCTCTGAACACAGGCCAAGGGGAGAGAAAATATTAAAACACCAGGCCTAGGAAAGACCTGGGCTCTCCTAGACAACCCCCCCCCCCCACAAAGTGCTATGGCCAGCCCGGTGTGATGGTGATGGTCCTCGCTATAGCTTGAGCTTCCTTTGGGTGTGTGAAACGGGGGAACACCGGTGACCTCGGCACGATGTGGTCGTGGGTCCTGCTCGGGACTGACAAGCATATTGACCTCCCTGGAAGGTAGGTGTTCCAGGCAGGTCTCTACTTCATTCTCGTGTGACTAGCTTGGATTTGGTGAGGGGCTTCGAGGGGACCACGAGCCTCAGCTGGAGCTGCGAACAAACACTTCTCTTCACCTTTCACTCCTGGCAGCAGGCAGAACTCCTGCTTCATCCAGCCCAAGGAAAACGTGGGGCCAGCTGGTTGGAGGATGCAGATGAAACAGGTCCAAATACTTCTGGAGATGGTCCTGGAAGTTGCCACCCATCAGAGACCCACTCTGAGATCCTGCTCCCCGCTTTGAAGGGAAGTTTCCATGCTAATTAAGTGCTGCTGCACTTGGTTATCCCCTGCTGGAGGCAGCTGTGTGCATGGAGCCCAAAGCCTGGCCCCTTGGGGCCATCAGCCCAACCCTTTCAGTTATAATATTGGGCAGTGGGCTCACTCCACTTGCTGCCTAGGCCTTTTGACGCTCTCACCCAAAAATGACGACATGGCTAGTTAGGCTGACAGTCTTGTTGTAATTGGGAGAAAACAGGCTGCAGCACATTTGGCAGATTGAGAGTCACCTGCAGCCAAAGTTGGGGTTATGCAGGCAGCCGAGGGTCTCAGAGCCCCCTGCCTCACATGGTGAAGAGAGGAAGAAGAGGTCAAATTCTAACCCAGATGGGAAAGTTGGTCCCTGGGCCAGTTTCACTTCCTTTCCTCACTCTCAGGAAGGTGAGGAAGGACATCACCTCCCCTTGCTGCCAAAGTTTCTTTTGCGACAGGCTGGGGAGGGTTTATAAAAATCTCCTACTGGAGACAACCTGCGTGATGAGCCCCCCAGTTGGCCTCTGCTCCCTTCCAACCACTTCACAGCAGAGTCCAAATCCAGAACCGTGTGTGTTTCATGGGCTGGAGGGTGGGGAGGGGAGGACAGGGTGGCCAGAGGAAAGGAGTGGGGGATTGGGGGCAGTGGCCATTCTTAGCAGTTCGAAGGAAGCAGGGCCCTTCTCCCAAGCATCCTGCACAGGCTCAGTGGCAGCTCTGGCCACCTGCCCTCCCAGGAGGGTTCCAAACCCCCATGGAGTGCCTCAGAGTAGAGAGGGTTCAGGCAAGGAAGACCACAAAGATGATGAAGAACACAATGAGGATGAGGAAGATTTTGACCATAAGCCACCGGTTGGAGGTGACCGACTGGAAGTACTTGAGGATCTCTGAGTGGGCGGCCTCAACATCCAGCTGGGCTCCCAGCACGTTCTCGTCGATCCTGGGGATAGGGCCGGGAGGAGGGGAAAGAGAATGACACTGGATTAAAAAGAATGCTGTTGAAGTGTATTTTCTGCATGTTTATATATTTGTATTGATATATAGAAAAAGCTCTGGAAGGGTAATATAAACAAGTCTTGGCTGTGGTTTGAAAATCAACTCTGCAACTTATTAGCTTATGACCCCTAAGCCAGTCATTTAACCTCAAGTCTCATTTTCCTCAACTGCAAAGGAAGGAAAAATGAGGATAACACAAATCATAAGTTTGTTGTCAATCTTAAATGAGTTATATAAAGTGCTCAACCCATACTAAGAGGATCCAAAATGTTAGTTATATTTTTTTGCTCATTGGTATTTATTGATTTTTGTCTAATAAACAGTATTGCATTTGTAAAAAGGGGGAAAAGTTCACAGACCATTATGGTAAGGAAACCCTGGTTCTGAGTGAGAAAGGAAGAAAAACTTAATGATGTGGACAGAAAGTCAAGGGATAAGAAAAGCCCTATATTAGGAGAACATGTCTCTCAGGATATAGAGAAGTTCTCAGAAGAATGGCAATCTCTTGAGACACTGCTGAGGAAAATCAAACATATCCCAGCTAATCTGAATATGCAGAGTCCTAAAAACCAAATATAAACCCTGGTCTTTGCAAAGGGAGTCGCTGGGAGCAGGCACCTGTGGGAGCTGTGAGGTCAGAAAAGTTGGTGGAGCCTGGTAATCAAATAGGTAAGTGAGAGGAAAGGCTGGGCCAGTGGCTGCAAGCCCAAGGTCCTGGTAAGGTGGTCATGAGGACGGCGAGCTAATCTCTGTCCAAATACAGGAGCCTGGATTGTACACGGCTCCCTGTTTATGTCAGGGAGGCTAAAGTTATCAGGTTTCCTAGCTTTTGGCTATAACTACATTTCTCAGTGTGGATGCGTTTGTCATCTCATACCCAATTAAGCTCATTCATATCGGCAATTATAATGGCTTTGCTTAACAAAAGTGGAAAAACAATGAATGCAATCTGGCATCTAAAAGATTTTAAATGGGAGTCTGTGAATGAAATCTAATACAAGGAAAGAAATTACTATTATTCTATAGTAATTTTAAGACAGAAAACTTCTTTAAGGAAGAATGTCAGCTAATAAATGTAGAAGGAATAAGCAAATTAGAAAATTACCATTTTGCAACACACACTCTCACAAACGAATCAGGCAAGGACCATCAGGGGGCTAAGGAACTGGAAATTCACAGGGACCCAAAGCATCACTCCACAGATGATTCAGTCTGATGGTCACCACCTTGAACAAGTGGCCAAACTTGGTATCACCAATAAAGACATAACCTCGGGCTTCCCAAATACATGAAACTTAAATTTAATCATAGGGAAAACAGTGGACAAATAAACATGCAGGACCTCGTACAAGAGACACTGGCCTCTTCAAAAACAAGTAAGTATCACACACTCACACACAAAAAAAGGCAGACTAAAGAGACACAACAATCAAATGAAATGTATGAATGTTGCCTGAATCTTAAACTGAAGGAAAAAAGCTAAAAACTTTTTTTTTTAGAACAGTTGGGGAAATTTGAGTATGGACTGAGTACTGGATTGTGTTGGAGAATTGTTCATTTTCTTAGGCTTGATTATGGTACTGTGGCTGCTCAGGAGAATACCTATTTTTGGCAGATGCTTGCTGAAGTATCTGGGGATAAAATGTCATGATGTTTGCGCCTACTTTTAAATGATTCAGAAAAAAAAAAAAGGTGAGAGGAAGCAAATGTGATAAAATGTCAACAGTTGGTGAATCCAGGTGAAAGGAATATAGGTGTTCCTTATGCTATCCTCCCAACTTTTCTATAGTTAGAAAAATTTTAATTTACAAGTTGGAGGGAAAAGGAAAATGACTAACACTACATCAGCAGTTTTTCTACCTTAGAAAAACATAAGAATCACCTGCTGAGCGTCTCAAAAACGCAGATTCGGGCTTCCCTGGTGGCGCAGTGGTTGAGAGTCCGCCTGCCGATGCAGCGGACACGGGTTCGTGCCCCAGTCCGGGAAGATCCCACGTGCCGCAGAGCGGCTGGGCCCGTGAGCCATGGCCGCTGAGCCTGCGCGTCCGGAGCCTGTGCTCCGCAACGGGAGAGGCCACAACGCTGAGAGGCCCGCGTACCGCAAATCAAAAACAAAAACGCAGATTCTTTTTCTTTTTTTTTTTTTTCTGCCAAGCCAAGTGACTTGTGGGATCTTAATTCCCCGACCAGAGATCGAACCTGAGCCCACAGCAGTGAAAGCGTGAAGTCCTAACCACGGGACCGCCAGGGAATTTCCTGGCGGTCCCGTGGTTAAGACTCAGCGTTTTCACTGCTGTGAGCCGGGGTTTGATCCCTGGTTGGGGAACTAAGATCCCACATGCCACAAGGAGTGGGCAGAAGAAAAAAAAGCAAATTCTTAGGTCTCACATTCAGAGATTCTAGGGTGGGGCCCAGGAAACTACATACTAAGAACTTTGGACTAAATCAGTGGTTTCTCAAGAGGGTGCTCAAATCCAGATCCACTGGCATTTGCAGGAAGCAAACACAAGAATATCTGGGTCTATTTTAAAAACATCATCCTTTCAAAATTTCAATTTCTTTTTCATATCATTGCCCACAAGTTTTTTCTCCTTTGTTATTTCCCTTTTATGTTTCAATCTACTGCCAGATTGCTTCTGAGCCACTCAACTGAAATTGCTGGCACTGATCCAATTAATCCAAGCCCCCTGATCCAAGTAATGCTTGAGGATCCTTAATTCACACTTCCTTTCTCAGGGGCACCAAGAAATAACGACCCCTTTCTCCCCAAAATTCTTTCCACCTCAGCTTCACATCTCTTTGCTTTTTTCTCTCATCTCCCTAAAACTTCCTCCTCAGTCTCTTGGACATATTCTTCCCTTCACCACATATGCCTGGAATCCATGGGGAGCTGTCCTGTCCTTATTCTCACTTTACCCATTGTCCCTGGGTAGTCTCATCTACCTCCATGGTTTCACCCAGAAGCTGCTGACTCCCAAGTCCTTATCTCTAGCTTAGCCCTCTCTTCTGAGCATTAAGACCATGCATCTCATGCCTCTCAGCTGTCCCAGAACAAACCTCATTCTCCCCACCCAGCACTAGTCTGCGGCCTCTTGCGTTCTCTCCCTATCCCCAGATCCAGGAGGACTAGCTCACAGGAGCAGCGACAAATGTTTGCTAAACCAATGAACAAACGAGTACTAACACCGAAAAATACTTATGACACTTTCTCAAGGAAGACTAGAATGTAAAGTTGTATACATAGTATAACTCTAACTTTTTTTTTTTTTAAATAAAAGGCTTTCAGTTTTGTTGGCATGCGGGATTTTAGTTCCCTGTCCAGGGACGGAACCCATGCCCCCTGCAGTGGAAGTGCGGAGTCCTAACCACTGGACCGCCAGGGAATTCCCTAACTCTATTTAAAATACATATGCAGGGGCTTCCCTGGTGGCACAGTGGTTAAGAATCCACCTGCCAATGCAGGGGGCACGGGTTCGAGCCCTGGTCCGGGAAGATCCCATATGCTGTGGAGCAACTAAGCCCATGCGCCACAACTGCTGAGCCTGTGCTCTAGAGCCTGCGAGCCACAACTACTGAGCCTGTGAGCCACAACTACTGGAGCCTGTGCACCTAGAGCCCATGTTCCGCAGCAAGAGAAGCCACCGCGATGAGAAGCCTGCATACCACAACGAAGAGTAGCCACCGCTTGCCGCAACTAGAGAAAGCCCGCACGCAGCAACAAAGACCCAATGCAGCCAAAAAAATAAATAATAATAAATTCTTTAAAAAACACACATATGCATTGGGGAAAGAACACAAAGCTTTTATTGATACAAATCTGTTTCTTTGAATCTATAATATTCTAATATTCAAAATACACTGTAGGGCTTCCCTGGTGGCGCAGTGGTTAAGAACCCGCCTGCCAAAACAGGGGACACGGGCTCAAGCCCTGATCCGGGAAGATCCCACACGCCGCGGAGCAACTAAGCCCATGCGCCACAACTACTCAGCCTGCGCTCTAGACCCCACAAGCCACAACCACTGAGCTCACGTGCAACAGCTACTACAGCTACTACATGCCACGGACCTACAGCTCCGCAACAAGAGAAGCCACCACAATGAGAAGCCCACGCACCGCAACGAAGAGTAGCCCCCGCTCGCAGAAACTAGAGTGCACACAGCAACAAAGACCCAATGCAACCAAAAAACAAAAAACAAAAACATTGTAGCCTGAGGAGCTCCAGTGTTTATGGCCTAACTCAGCAATTCAACTGAATTCCCTAGGTCTCAGTTGAACCAGGTAAGAATCAGTCAATTCTCCTGGTTCTAGGATCAAGACTGCTGTCTTCACAGCGCCGTTAAATCGCCCAATTAAATATGTGAGGCTGCTGAATGCACTGGTGTTGGGAAACCTGCTTTATACAAATGCAGGTGTTCACGCAGTTTCACTTGATCAGCAACCAGGAGTACAAGCACTCTGCTTGCTAGGTGCTGTGGGGAATAAAGAACATCCAGGCCTGGACATTGCCTGAAGACATCAGAGCAAGTGGGCGGGAATGTGTGAACCTGCGGATTCCTCAGAACTCCCACACCTCCTCTCCTTGATTCTCTCCACTAATGGCCTTTCTTCTTACCGAACTGAGAACATGGAAGTAGTCTGAAGAATTGGGCAAGGTAAGAAAAACAGGTCCCTGGCCTCATACTTGGAGATTCTGATTCCACAGATGTGAGTGCAGTAGACTGCCGGGAACCTTCATTTTGTTTTTTTTTTCCAGGAGAAAATATATTTTTAAATTAGGTATAGCTGATTTAAGATACTATAGTAATTTCAGGTATAGAACATGGTGACTCAAAATTTTTTGTTTGTTTTCCTGTGTTTTTTTTTGCGGTACGTGGGCCTCTCACTGTTGTGGCCTCTCCCGTTGCGGAGCACAGGCTCCGGACGCACAGGCTCAGCGGCCATGG